CGGGCCCTAAGTAGAAGAAAGGGTTTGAATGAATGTGTATAATGATAGAACATAAAAGGTTTAACAATCAAATTCATTGAGAAAGGGAAAATGATAATTTGTAACATCTAATCATGTATTGGTCAAGTTTAATTGTTATTAATGATTTAATTTTAAAAAATAATAAAAAACTTTTTTAATTTAAAAAATGGACGAAGGACATTTTCGTAATTTAACTTTGAACTTAAATCTTGCCAGTTGTCGCGACAAGAAAGAACATTGTATTTTAGTTCAACACTCCAACAACCGTCCCTTTGGTTAACATCTTCTTCCCCCTCCGCTCTCCTCTGTAATGGGATCCCTATCGCCTCTCGACGACCCTCTGCCCTACCCAACTGCTCGCCGTGATGAATCCGTTACAGATAACTACCATGGAGTTGACATTCCTGATCCGTATCGATGGTACAATCGATTTTACAAGATTTAACTCAATTAGCATGCTCTAAATACTTCATCTGCTCTTCTCTCTTTCATATCACAATATTCTTTTTCTAATTTCTTGACTTGGATACGAATAAAGCACAACATACCTATCTCCAACTAGTTTAGATTAACGCATAGTTGTTCTTGTCATGACTTTCTTTGGTTAATTTTGATTTCGTTGGTTTTCAACATCTTCATTAGCCAGTTTTCTTTCCTAAACTCTTCACATGGATCTTCATGTGGTGGAATGGAGGATTTATATAGCCTACCCAACTAACTTGGGACTTTGGGAAAGGCTGTTGTTACTGTTATTGTTTTGCTTTGGTAAATTTCGATTTTTTTTGTCCATTGAACCTTTTGATTAGGCTTGAGGATCCCGACTCAGATGAGACCAAGAAGTTTGTGGAAAAACAGGTGAATCTAACGGACTCAATTCTCAAGACTTGTGAGACAAGAGAAAAGCTAAGGGAAAATATAACGGAGTTGTATGATTTTCCTAAATATGAAGCTCCTTTTAGGGCAGGAGATAAGTACTTTTACTTCCACAATACAGGACTGCAACCCCAAAAAGTCCTTTATGTGCAGGTCTGCAGACATTCATTTTCTATTCCCTCTAGCCCCTTTTGGTTGTTTCTATTCTATTGAAAATAGAGGAAATGATATAGATAATTGTTTAGCCAACTCTAACTGATCTGGAATTGAGGCATAAGTTGATTAAATATGTCTTGTTATTTGGTGTTTTAGGATAGCTTGGATGGAGAACCAGAGATCTTGCTTGATCCAAACACACTTAGTGAGGACGGGACAGTTGCACTGAGTATTTGTTCCATTAGCGAGGATGCTATGTTTTTGGCATATGGCATTAGTTCGAGCGGTAGTGATTGGGTGACTATTAAAATTATGCAGGTTGTTGCTAAGAGCGTCGAGCCTGATGTATTGTCGTGGGTATGTTTTTGGAAAGAGAATAAATTTTGATTATGGTGGACATAGTTTAGTGCATGCAGTTTTTTATTTCAAATGTAACTGTTTCCTCACAGGTTAAGTTTTCTGATGCTAGCTGGACCCATGATAGCAAAGGTTTTTTCTACAGCCGTTATCCCGCACCCAAGTGAGTATTGATAGCTATATTTTCATTAGAAATCTGATTCATATTCAAGTATGATTTGACGATCGTGATTTTCTGTATATATCTGGTGGATGATCTATACCAGTTGAGTGCAATTTTATGTCACGTGATATCACATATAATCCTATCCGATGTAATGTTATCTGCTGGATGAGTCTCCACTAAGCTCAGTAGGTTTGTTGTAATACATATTGTGCTACTATCTGCTGGTATGTTATAATTATAATGGTATAAATATACAAACAGAACCTTAAATCTGTTTCATACTAAAGGTATAAATATGTCATAGTAATGGTATGACTTATATTTCTGGAAAATACGTCCGTTTTTCTAGTTAACGAGGCTTTCGTAATTTTTCTATGGTTCTAAAGTTTGGAGCGTGTCTTGCTTCATAGAGATGGAGAAAGTTTGGATGCTGGAACAGAGACACATTCCAATTTATACCATGAAGTGTATTATCACCGCTTGGGTACTGATCAGTCTGATGATATCTTGTGCTGGAAAGATCCTGAAAATCCGAAGTGTACGCGTTCAGCTTCAGTTACACAAGATGGAAAGGTTTACTGCAGACTCTACTAATCTGTTGTATAATTATTGTGGTCTGAGAATTATGTTACCTCCAAATTCCAAAGTAATATCAATATTTTGTTTATGAATAAACCTGGTAAAATAGATGTGGGTCTTGGAAAGATAAAGATACATCTTCATTAGTCATCCATTCCTAGTTTAGTCTAATATGCTCTTAAACTATGGGAAATTTAACAAAAGTGTCATCCATTAATAGTTTGGTCTTAAATACCCTTATCATTAATAGTTTGGTCCAAAAATGCCCCTACCACTAAAAGTTTGGTCCAAAAGGGCTCCTGTTGGTACTAAATGGGTCAACGATGCCATTTTTATTAAAAAACACATCTTGTAACTAATAAACATATTGCTTTTGAATAACCCTATTCTTGTTTTCTTTCTTTTAAAATCACTTTAACTGTTAAAAATATAGAAAATAATTGTTTTTCTTCCTATTCTCATTTTATCAATTAAAATTGAATAATATCATGTACCTTTTTAACGAATAACATAGGTCGTATTTAGAAGATCATAGGTGATTCAATGATTAATTTCATTTAGTTAATGATAAAACAAAATTTATAATAAAATAGGATTTTTATTTTAAAGAGTTTTATGATTAGTTGGATAAAAATTTGCTGATAAAAAAATTATTAATAGGAAAAGAATAAAGTAACAATAAGGGCATTTTTGGACTGAGCTATTGACGGCATAGACATTTTTAGACAAACTATTAATTGAGGGTATTTTTGTTCAATTTCACTAAGGGCATTTTGACCCTTTTTTGCATTAAAAAATAAAAACTACCTGGAACAGGTATACATCGACAAGTACCACTCGCATGGATGTGATGTGCTTCTTGAAAGAGTCTAGGTTGATTAGTCATCTTGTTTCTTTGCCTAGAGTATCTGGTGTCCTACTCGCCATTTAATGAAATTTTACTCAAAGACAGAGAGAACTTCCTGAGAAGGTTCTAAGAGGGCCTCTGTATGATAGACTATCAGTTGTCAAAGTACTACTTTCTTAAAGGCTTTTTGTCAGGATTATTGTGACAATAGGAGCACTTGGTTGAAAATGTTGATAATCTTCCTCCCATATTAGTGATTGTAAATTTGAATCTAAGTGAGGCCTTGAAACTTGATAGAATTTAGTTCGGGGATGCTTAGAAGCTCCTCATAGGCAACTCCCATTTTTAGGTTTAACTTTTCGTCTTCCTTTCATTTATGGAGTTATTGTTGTTTGCAGGTTTTACCTTGGTTTTAGCTTACCCAATCCCCCCCCCCCCAAAAAAAAAAATAAATAAAAAACAACGTCATCTTGTAAAGAGTCTTAACTTTCCAAAAAACTATTGCTTACTGACTATGTTTATATTTCCTATATCCCCTTGCAGTATGTTCTCCTGTATACTTATGAGAACTGTGATCCAGTCAACCAAGTTTATTACTGTGATTTATCTGCACTTCCTGATTGGGTTGAAGGTTGTAAGGGGAGAAATGAATTGCTACCCTTTATCAAGCTTGTTGATAACTTTGTCGCCTCTTATGAGTATGTTGCAAATGATGGCTCTGCTCTCACTTTTCGGACCAATAAGGATGCTCCCAAGTATAAGTTAGTCAGAGTAGATCTGAAAGAGCCTGATTCTTGGTCTGATATCATCCAAGAAAATGAAAAGGATGTGCTCGAATCAGCTGTTGTTGTCAATAACAATCAACTTGTTGTGAATTATCTGAGTGACGTGAAAAATGTTTTGCAATTGAGAGATCTGAAAGCAGGAGCACTGCTTCATCATTTACCCATTGATATTGGCTCAGTGTCTGGAATTTCTGCTCGCCGCAAAGACGATACTTTTTTTATTGGATTTACAAACTTCCTAATCCCTGGAATTATATATGAGTGTAATCTCAATGAAGAGGTTCCGAATTTGAAAGTATTTCGAGAAACTGTTGTCCCTGGCTTTGATCATACTGATTTTCAAGTTAATCAGGTGAATGAAGATTTTTTGTCACAATTATGCTTGTTTTTTTCTTTTTTTTTGACAATGCTTGAACTTGTGTTTTTATTTTCTTTCTTCTATCAGCATTTAATCCAGGCCATAGTGGGGACCTCTGATCCGTTTTATAAATGAAAATTTTGTTCATGATTTTTTCCATTGAATCAACCCATTTTTCAAAACTAGTTTGACATGAAATGTCTAAACTAAAGTAGAAGATTCATACTTTCATGTACACTCATTTGGATCCTGCATCTAAACTGAATTACAGGATTATTAGTTCTGAAATTTGATATTTTCATTTTGTTGAAAAGTTAATTGATTTTGAACCATACCTTCATGCGTCTCTTTTCCAAACTTCTATTCGCTTGGCGTAATTAGCTACCTGAACTACACCTGTGAAGGGTAAAATGCTTATTATATAACTGGGTGAACATGTCATCCATTTGAGACAAGAAATTTTTGCTGGGCATAGCAGTGACTTATGGATTTCTCTACTTTTGGTTATAAGTACTTACTCTGCAGTGCACAGTAGCAAATGTCATTTAATGAAAACAAATTCACAGATTGCTTCTATTATCTATCCAAAAAAAGAAAAAAGAAAACAGATTGCTTTTATTTTCATTTTGCTTCTCACTGAATGGACATCACAGCAAAATCCATGTAAACATTATAAAGGTAACAATGATTTTTTTCTATTTTTTCTTCTCCAGTGTCTTTCTAAAACTGCAATTTTCCGTTGTCTCCTTTATTTTTGGGGCGGGGGTCTCCTTTTGCAGGTTTTTGTGCCCAGTAAGGACGGTGTCAAGATTCCTATGTTCATTGTGGCTGGAAAGGACATTTCCTTTGATGGATCACACCCATGTTTATTATATGGATATGGAGGATTTAATATTAGTATTACTCCGTACTTCTCTGTTGGTCGTGTAGTGATTGCGAAGCATTTAGGTGTTGTATTCTGCATTGCAAATATCCGTGGTGGTGGAGAATATGGAGAAGATTGGCATAAAGCTGGCTCCCTTTCCAAAAAGCAAAATTGCTTTGACGACTTCATTTCTGCTGCTGAGTATCTTGTGGAAGCTGGTTACACTCGGCCCAAAAAGTTGTGTATCGAAGGTGGAAGCAATGGTGGGCTTCTTGTTGGAGCCTGTATCAATCAGGTAAGGGAACTGATTCTTCAATATAAGTATCTTATTCAAGCTGAATTCTGGTGTTGATAAATCAGTGATTGACCATGGTAGCTTCATAAATTGCAGAGACCTGATCTCTTTGGCTGTGCCCTTGCACATGTTGGTGTTATGGATATGCTTAGGTTTCACAAGTTCACCATAGGTAGTGTATAGTAGAATGAGTTCTCACCTTTAGTGTACATATTTCTTTTGCTCTTTACAAAATATATTCTCTTCCTCATTAGGTCACGCCTGGACCTCTGATTATGGCTGCTCAGAGAAGGAGGAAGAGTTTCAGTGGCTAATCAAGTAAGTTTTTTGAATTCTAATCCAACATCCAGCATCATACTGTAGTATGCTTTTCAATTCATGCATGTAAAGGAAAAGTGAAAAAAAGAATATGACAGCAGTTCCTAGGGTGAAAAGAACTAGCAGTATGGTGATAGATTGCTTTTGGATGAAGCCTCATTGCAATATTTTGTATACAAGAGAATGAGATTAAAGGGTGTGTTTCGTATGAAGGAAAATGATTTCCTGGGAAACAAGTAGATTTTGGACTTATTTTCTCATATTTGGTTGGTGAATAGAAAATATTTTTAGGAGATGATATTTAGTGTTTGATTTATGTATGAAAAATGTTTTTGAGAAACATCCTTCATTTTTATTAGAGAAGAAAATAATTTTGGAAATTGAAAATATTTTTTAAAAACAAAATTAATTTTTTTTGGTGGATGGGGTGGGAGGGCTGGTGGGGAGGGGGGAGGTAAGGGTGAAAAATAAAAATTTGAAGTTGAAAATATTTTTTAAAAACAAAATTAATTTTTTTTGTGGTGGCTGGGGTGGCGTGTGTGTGTGTGTGTGGTGGTGGTGGGGGGG